GTCACATAATTATTACTTGGTTTACTTCTTCCTGACATGCAATCCATTTTATTTTATTTTGACTCTGCCTCATTATATGGGAAGGATGTTCATGTCCCAGTGTATCCCCAGTGTATAAAACAGAACCTTGCACAAGGATAGCACTATAAATACTCCTGGAAAAGTGAATTGCCAAACTCTGTTTCAGTTTTGATTAAATTCTAAGACAGCCATAGCATGACAAGTTTCCCTTCTTTCCCATGAACAGGAGTCACTGTAACTTGAATATTATACACTTATGGGACCAAAAAGAAAGACTAAATAAAGAAGGCCAAGACCTTGTAGGGAAGCTACCACTGTTGTTTCACTAAAAGAACATGAAATCCCTGTCAAACTGCCCCCAAACATTTGCTTATGTCTATAGATTAGTACTGTGGTCAGATTTGGTCGAAGAAGCTTCTTTTTGCATTAGGCAACAGTTGCTATAGAGTCTCATAACTGGTCACTGTGCTAATAACAAGTGGCTTTTGAATGTTCAACCCTAACTGAAACATAGATATCACAGCCTTCAAGATCCAGGGTATACTGTGGAAGGAGTGGGTAAGACGTAAAAGCCAGGGGAAGGGGTGGGGTGTTATGGAATGCTTCCTGAGGTGTGAAATAGCAGTTGCAGTCTGGAATTCTCAGTAGCTGTGATTATCTGCAGAAGACCTGAACAACGTTAGATCCATCAACTTTCCATCAGGGATCATGGAAGAACTCACCCCTCCCTGAGGATGCAGAGGCAGTTAATGGTTGCTGGGGAGGGGGACACTTTCTTCAGTGATAAAGTCACCGGTAGGTTGCCCATGCTTCTGTAAGTAACCCTAATTAAACTCATTGGTTAAAAAAAAAAAATAATGCCACCCAGACAGTGGAGGAGAATAATGAAGATAAGTGAAGGTAAGTTACCTCTCAGTACAGCTCACAGAGACCTTTTTAAAGACCCTGTCTTTTAAAAAAGGGAGGGAGGAAGGAAGGAAGGAAGGAAGGAAGGAAGGAAGGAAGGAAGGAAACCAGGAAGGAAACCCTTTTACCAAGACGTGGTGCGCACAGCTTTACAACACCCAGAAGGCAGAAGCAGGAAGAGCTCTGTGAGATGGAGGCCAGCCTGGTCTACATAATGAGTTTCATAGGAAGACCCTGTCTCAAAAAGAAAACAAGGGTAGTGGCTCAGTGGTAGAGAAGTTGACAGGTGCTAATCTCTAGGTTCAATCCCAGCACTGTAAAAAGGAAACACTAATAATAAAAAGAAAACAGAGAAAATGCTGACCTGATTTTCTCCAGATCTACAAGGACCTAAATGTTTCAGTTCCGTGAACTGTTAGTACTTAGGAATCTCCTAGGGTATAAAATATTTAAAGGCACATGAACAATGGGCTTCCGTTGTTACATGGCGGCACCCATTATGGCAAGGTCTGTATGGGGGCGGCCATGTTTAAATACTGACGTACATAAGGCAAATTTGAAGGCTTGGGGTTTAGGCAATGGTAAGAAGAGGAAATACCACTGAGGTTGCCTTATTCCCCAGCACTTCTATTAGAGAGAAAGCAGAGGTTCTCAGAGACTTTCCCTGCTCGTGATCTTTTTTCAATGTATAATTTTATTGAATTGGTGCATTTCATACAATACATCCTAATTACTCTTATTTAGATCCTGTCCCCTGCCTGCACCCCCCATCCCCCATTCCCTCCATCCCCCTACCCCCGCTTCCTCATGCAACAGAGGGTGATTAACACAAAAGACCACAACTGGCCAAAGTGTAGAAAATAAGAAACTACAGAGTGTGTGCCCCTGGACAGAGTTCCTATATTAAACCTCGCACACCCAGAGCTCGGGGACCATTGCAGAACAGGAGGTGGAAATATTGTAAGAGCCAGGAGAGGTGGACGACCACAGGAAATAAGGGTTTTCCAGACTTCTGGGAACAAGAAGTTCCTGGGAACTTCCTAACTGACAAGCTCCAGATTTAGTGAAGTCTCAAAAACATAAAATGGATAGCAATAAAGAAACCTGACGTTGACCTCCGGCCCCTGTGAGTGCGCACGCACACACGCACACACACACCACACACCCAGAGTTCCTGTTAAACTAGCCCATGTGTACATGTATTATCTGTACATATTTATCTACCTATATGTATCAGTATTCAAGTAAATGTGGTTTTGTATTGTGCTAACTCAAATTAAGTCCCATCAGATTCATTCTAACATTTCTTCCTGGATTATAGTTTGTTCTCCAAGTGAGAAATCTTTTATTACTATTTTTAATCTTTGTGCATGTTCATGTGCAAATGTGAAAACATGTGTGCCATGACATGCCATAGAGGTCTTGGTGTTGAACCTAGTCTTTCACCTTGCTAAAGACAGGGCTCCTCACCATTTCCTATGCCGGATTAGCTGGTCCAAGAGCTTTGATGGATTCTCTGGTTTCCATCGCTCATCTCTCCATAGGCATGCTGGTTTAACGGATACATGCCTGGCTTTACATGGGTTCTGGGATCCAAACTCAGCACTCACATGCACTGTTCTGTGTGATGGCACCTCATCCAACCACTTGAATGATGAGAGACTATATCAATAATGGACCTATCCAGCCCAAACAGAACAATCCATTCCTTCGCCTGCACAATTGAGAGGATACATAAATGTTCATTATCTGTAGTCTTTAGGTTTGTTGTGTTAGCCATTCAAGGTCTGTAATACATCAAATACTAGTATGAACCTGAGTGTACACTTAAATGTGATTATATAAGGGGTAGACCATCTCATGAGAGCAGTATGCAGCCTCAAAAAAAAAAAAAAACAGATAAAGCTGGTGATACCTGCAATCACACCACCCAGGAGGCTGAGACAGCCTGGGCTACACAGTGAGACTCTGTCCCCCCCAAAATCAAAACATAATAGAGAATTTACATATACGTGGGGAAAATAAGAAATGTTTTTAAAAAGAACATTTTACAAAAGAACACAGCACACAATGTGAACCTACAAAGAAAAATAAATGTGAATGCAATTCAAAACCCTCAGTGAATGTAACATGACTAATTTTGGTTACCTCTTAGGTTTGGGACCAGAATCAGAGGTATAAAATAAGGTTGGCCTCTTTCTATTTTAAGTCTCTCTCAATGGTCTGAATTTTTTGTTATCTCCTGTTTAATCTTTTGTTATTTTTATTTTATGTGTACAAGTGTATTGCCTGCATGTATGTGAGTGGACCCATGTCATGCAATGCCATGGAGGTCAGAAGAGGGCTTCGAATTCCCCTGGAACTAAGGTTAAGGACGGTTTGTAGCCACCATGTGGGTGCTGGGAATCGAACCCAGGTCCTCTGCAAGAGCAGTGTTCTTACCACTGAGCCATGTCTCCAGCCCCTCCTGTTTGTTTTAAATCCAAGATTGCCATGAGCCACTGAGATCACTCAGCAGATAAAGGCATGTGCCACCAAGCCTGATGTCCAGAGTTCAAGCTCCTGACCATACATGATGGAAGAGAGAACTGACTTCCATCAAGTTGTCCTGACCTCCACTGGAGGGCCATGGCTTACACACCCTCAGACACACATAGCACAATAAATGTTAACTTTTTGAAAAAGACTTCTGCTACCTCATGGCCCCATTTATCCCTATTCCGTACTCACATACCACTAAGTGCAACGTGTGATGGCTGCTCTTTCTTGTGTAATGCCCACTACACTGTGCACTTCTGTGCATAGCATGATACATATTTAACTCCTTTTGGGAAATCTGAATCTACTCAGTCCACAACGATCTCTCCTTTCTTGAGATTTTCCTGCCTCAGCCTCTTCTGCCTATTCTACCAGCCTGTGCTACCACACTATATACATGATGGAAAAAATGTTCAGGCTTCAGTCCCCCCCCCCTACACACACACACACACACACACACACACACACACACACACACACACAAATTTATGATACTTGCAAATAAGTAGTAAAAAGCATCAGTAGAGCGCAATAAAATGGCTCTGCAAGGTACAGGCACTTGTATATGGGCATGACCACCTGAGTTCAATCCCCAGATGCCACAAGGTGGCAGAAGGGAGCCATGTCCCAACAGTTTTCTGCCAACCTCCACATATGCAAGCTGCCTGTGCCCACATATATACACACACACACACACACACACACACACACACACACAATTTAAGAGTCATCAATAAAATGGGCAGTAAAATTAACTCTAAGGGACCTGCAAGATGGGTCAATGGGTAAGGGCACTTGTTTCCAAGCCTGTTGACCTGAATTTGCAATCCCTGGACTCCTCAAAGTGGAAAGAACCTACTCCCAGGTGATGTCCTGTGACCTCGGTGTGTGTGGCACATACCCCACCCCAAGAAAAAAACCTCACTCAGATCTGTAATATGGAAACAAAGGAAATCGTCTTCCAAGCCAGAACTTGTGATCCTCTTTTCTCCTGGGATTACAGAACACAGGCTGTTCTAGTCCTAGCTGGGATTACGGGACACAGGCCTGTACTAGTCCTAGCTGGGATTACGGGACACAGGCCTGCACTAGTCCTAGCTGGGATTACGGGACACAGGCCTGTACTAGTCCTAGCTGGGATTACGGGACACAGGCCGCTACCACTTGTCCTCGCTGAAAAAAAAAAAAATCAATGGTAAAGAATGTGCCCTATTACAGAACAAAACACATTAGAGAAATGTAAAGGAAAGATACAGGATATCCCTCTACACACACACACACACACACACACACACACACACACACATGACTAAATGTAATGACAGTAGGGAGTGCTATACTGACTCGATTGAAGCCAGGTGTGGTCATGCATCCCTTTAGTCCCAGCACCCCGACAGGCAGATCTCTATGAGTTCAAGGCCAGCCTGGTCTACATAGCCAGTTCCAGGCCAGCTGGGGCTACAGGGAGATCCTGTCTCAGAAAGACAGAAAAATAAATAATAAATAAATAATAAATAAAACTGAGTCCACTGAACATTTCCTTTATTACTATTAGGTATATATTAGATAACAATGTGCAATGCCCACTATGAAACAACAGCTGCTTTGTTTCTCATATATTTAAACACATTTATTTACCACAACCCACAAACTGAACTCTTTTTAGTAATTACCTTGAAAACTGAAAAGCTGAGTTTACAGACAGCCTTTGTAGAGGAACGTTCTGGTCATCTTTATTTGTAACAGCAAAACCCTGGAAACAACCCTAATGTCCTTCAGCAGTTTAGCTAAAATTATAATTTTATCTTCCTGTATAAGAAAATGAACTATGATTACCTAAATTTGTTATCTGTGTGAGAAGCTGCCTTAAGGGAATACAGAATCTTGATTATTTAGGTAAGAAATTCTGAATATAAATTTACCTCAAATAAAATTTTATTTTAAAATTATATTTATACTTATTGCATATACTTGCTGCTTCTTATAAACTAAACATATCCAAATACATTACATTGTATTTAAATGTTTCAAGTATTTTTTAAATAAAAAACTTAGAATCAAAGAACACAAGTTAAATTGAGACAGGCAAAGAACATTCTTACACTGTATAGTTCCAAACTTAATATCTGATGGAAGGTACCAAATCAAGCCAGGAATGCTGGTATGCTCCCTTTAATCCCAGCACTCGAGAGGCAATGCCAGTCAGGTCTACATAGTGAGTTCCAGGCTAGCCAGGGCTACAGGGAGACCCTGTCTCAAAAAAAAAAAAAAAATTACAAAATTAGTAACAGAACACCTAGAAATACAGCCCAAGGCAGGCACCCTGTCCCCAAATGCACAGAAGGTGTGCATGTGTGTGTTCTCCTAAGGACACACTGTTTGCAGTTCTATCAGGGAGTCTTTCCTTCATTCATCTCTCTGGTATTTTCCCCCAGTCTTTCGCATTGAGTATGTTCTTAAATGGTTTGCTTTTTTCCCCCAGCCACCAGGGATTGGATCTAGGACCTCATTCATGCTGGTCAAGCATTCCATCACTGAGCTACATCCCCCAATAGCTATGCTATTTGGCTTCCTAGCAAATGATGAGGTGATATATTACTATAAGCCCTTCCATAGGAAAGTATTGCTCAAACGTGAACTCTAAGTCTACTGCGGTCTTAGTTGATAGGCTACAGCTTTCCCTGAATCACACTTTCATCAACTGGTAGTTCCCACAAGATCTACGGTAATCATTTGACAGGGTTGTCTTACTACTGAAGGTTGCCCTAGCCTATCATATTCAGGGGATGGTTCTCAATATATAATGAAAAGTCATAATGTTCTGAAATTTTCCCTTGAGGCTGACTATATGAGTATTTTCATGTTTTCTTTGCCATAAAACATGAGGCCATTTATCTATCAATACACACTCTATACTAATATTCTTTGCAAACACTGTAATAACTCAAGGACATACAAGAGACTTGTTAACTAACTGTGCATTCTCTTGTGTTTAACAAGGCTTGATAAGTGGGCAAAAGCTTTCCCACAATCACTACACCCATAGGGCCTCTCCCCGGTATGCTTTCTTTGATGAACATTGAGCCATGACTTTGTAGTGAAGGCTTTTCCACACTCTTTGCACTCATATGGTTTCTCTCCTGTGTGAATTCTCTGATGGGTAATGAGATCATTTTTGCGCAAGAAGGACTTTCCACATTCAGTACATGCAAAAGAAGTCTGTCCTGAGTGAAGTCTCTGATGTAGTATGAGCCATGTCTTTTTCTCAAAGACTTCACCACACTCATTACATGTGTATGGCTTCTCTCCAATATGAGTTTGCCGGTGTATACCTAGAGTGCTTTTCATGGTGAAGCCCTTTCCACATTCGTTGCATATATATGGCCTTTCACCAGCATGGGCTCGCAGGTGAGCAATGAGCATCTTTTTCTCACTTAAACCTTTACCACATTCACTACATATATAGGGTTTCTTTCCCGTGTGTGTACGCTGATGTACATTGAGCTGACTCTTCTCTGGAAAGCCCTTTCCACATTCAGTGCATTTATAAGGTTTCTCTCCTGTGTGAGTTCGCTGGTGTATTATCAGACGTATCTTTGTGGGAAAGCCTTTTCCACATTCACTGCATACATAGGGTTTCTCTCCCGTGTGAGTTCGCTGGTGTACAATTAAGCGGTTCTTTAAGGCAAAGCCTTTTCCACATTCATTGCATGTAAACGGTTTCTCTTCAGTGTGCGTATGCTGATGTATCCTCAACTGTATCTTCGTTGGAAAGCCTTTTCCACATTCATTGCAAACGTAGGGTTTCTCTCCCGTGTGAGTACGCTGATGCACAATTAGGTGGCTCTTCAAGGCAAAGCTTTTCCCACACGCATCACATGTAAATGGTTTCTCTCCAGTGTGAGTTCGCTGATGTGAAATGAGATCACTCTTCATGACAAAGTCTTTCTGACACACAGGGCATACATACGGCTTCTCTCCTGAATGTATCCGCTGATGTGTAATAAGACTGTTCTTCAGTGTGAAGCCTTTCCCACATTTACTGCAGAGGAAGGGTTTCTCACCAGTATGAGTTCGATGATGTCCAAGAAGCCGCCTCTTCTCAATAAAGCCTTTTCCACATTCACTACATATATAAGGCTTCTCTCCTCTGTGAGTTTTCTGATGTGCAGTGAGACTGAGCTTTGTAGAGAAGGCTTTTCCACATTCACTGCACATATGTAATTTCTCTTGTGTATGAGTTTGCTGATGTGCATTAAGACTGTTCTTCAGCGTGAAGCCTTTCCCACATTTACCACATAGGAAGGGCTTCTCACCAGTATGAGTTCGATAATGTGCAACAAGCCGCCTCTTCTCAATAAAACCTTTTCCACATTCACTACACAGATAGGGTTTCTCTCCTGTATGAGTTTTCTGATGTGTAGTGAGACTGAACTTTGTAGAGAAGGCTTTCCCACACATGTGGCAGCCATACGGTTTCTCTCCTGTGTGAATTCGCTGATGATAAATAAGGAGGCATTTTCTGGTGAAGGCTTTTCCACATTCGCTGCATATGTAATGCTTCTCTCCCATATGAGTTTTCTGATGCACATTAAGGAATTGCCTGTCTCTGTTAAGCTCACCAGAGTTCTTTAGACCACAGTTTCTGTTCTGGTTTTCAAGACTTAAATTTGAGTTCAAAGACTTTTCATGGAAGTCAAACACATCACAATTTTGCTTGGATGTGGAATAACCTTTACTCTGATCAACAGCATTTCTCAGTATTTTACATTCATAGAGTTGTTCAACACTCTTCTGAGTGCTTCGATTTTTCAAGTGATGCTGTAGAGGATCATTAACTTCTCCAATTTCTAGAAAAGAAGAGAACAGTAAATAATTTCATCGCCTTCCTTCAGAATAAAATTGTTTAAGAAATGGCTTAATGGGCTGGAGAAATGTCTCAGTGTTTAAGAGCAGGTGCTGTTCTTCCAGAGAACCTGAATTCAGATCCCAGGACTTATCAGGCAGCTCACAACCACCTGTAATTAAAGCTTCAGGGGATCTGTCACCCCTTTTTGATCTCTACAGGCACAGCATCAGGTACATAGGCACACAGACACACACATACACACACACATACACAGACACACACACAAACACACACACACACACACAGACATACAGACACACACACACACACAAACACACAGACACAGACACACACAGATATACACACAGACACACACACACACAGACACACACATACACACACACATACACAGACACACACACAAAGACACACACACACAGACATACAGACACACACACACACACACAGACACAGACACACACAGATATACACACAGACACACACACACAGACACACACATACATAAACACACACACACAGACAGACACACAGACACACACAGCACACAGACACACACATTTTTTTTTTTAAAATGCCTTGGTCATAAGTGGCTCATTACGTGTGTGTGTATGTATGTATGTGTGTGTGTGTGTGTGTAAACCTATCTTTTGCACATTAATAAAACAATCATTTAAACACATTAAAAGATAAAAGCATTAGTATATAAAAATGTAACTCAATAACTGTACAGATTCAGCTATTTTCTAAATAGATCTTTACAAAACATAAAGATAGTAATACACAAACAGGACATGTTTAGCAGAAAGTCTCAGAATTTAGCAGGACATCCGACCACAGAAATTAGAGACACACTAGGCAACAGAAGATTATATTCATTTATTCAACAAGTAATTACTGACTGAGCTACATGTAAGTCACTGTACTCTTTATTTCATGGTGGGTTTTTTGTTTGTTTTGTTTTTACTTATTTTTACTTTATGTGTATGAGTGTTTTGCCTGCATGTATACAAGTGAATCCATGTTGTACAATGCCCATGGAGGCCAGAAGAGGACACTGAATCCCCTGGAACTGGGGCTACAGACAGTTGTTAGCCACCACATGGGTGCTGGGAACTGAACCCTGGTCCTCTGCAAGAGCAGCCAGTGCTCTATACTGCTGAGCCATCTCTCCAGTACCCTGTACACTTTTTTCCAATACTGGTGATCAAACCCAGGGCCTCATGCATACTAAATCAACACTTATACTGAGCTATATGCCCAGGCCCATGGTAGTGTTTTGAATATAAAAACATACTCTTTATTTTTATGCAGGTTTAGTTCTTGCTAGGGAAAAAACAATCAATGAGAAGCACAGAACTAAAGGACATAAAGCTAGGCATGGTGGTTCATGCCTGTAATCCCAGGACTCAAGCCTATCATTGTGTGTTCAAGGCCAGCCTGGGCTACACAGCAAGATTCTGTCTCATGAAAACAACAAACTCTGATGGGTCGAAAATGGATGGCAGGGAAGGGGAGGGAGGGAAGGGTTATAGATTGTTTTTAAGTGTGGTTAATGGAACAATGGAGATACAGGAGGTAGAGTGAGACAGGATGCCCCTAAAGCAAAGCCAAAGTTCACTAACAGGTTCAACAAAAGTAATGGAAAGCATATAAAGGAAAGGAGCAATGCCAAGATTACTCTGAAAATCACATGGCTTCAGCCACCAGACAGGAAGAAAAGCCTCATGATGAAAATAGAAACAGTACTATAACAAAGGGAAAATCTAACACATACGTGAAGAAACTCAATATATAAATACTGAAAAAGGTCATATGTGGAGACAGCAATGTGGATGTAATTAATATATACAAATTACTCAGAGAAAGGGGACTAGATGAGCAGACGTGGCGGTATATGCTTATGGTCTCAGAACTTGGGAAGCCGAAGCAGGAAGAGCTCAAGTTAGAGGTTAGACTCAGCCACATAGCAAGGTACTCTATCAAAAACCCAAATAAGCAAAAATAAAAACTCAGAGGCTAGGGCTGTGGCTCAGTGGTGAAATACTTGCTAGCACATGGAATGAACCCACATTCAAGTCCCAGTCCTGCCAAAAGTTAAGGG